AATCCATGGATTGTACAACAGAACAGAACAGAATTTGGCCCACTTAAATCATACCAAAGGAGAAGCAGCAGATTCTAATATATATAATATATATAAACCCTTTCAGTTGCAGCCTGCTTTTACAGAAGGGAAATTGTCACTGTTGGGATCTCCTTTAACCTTGGGCTTAGGAGCATTGTTGTGCTAAGAGCATTGTGCTAGGAGCATTGTTGTGCTAAGATTGCCCCAGGGAATGAATTCATAACAAAGAGGCTTGATGTTTCAGAAGCAAGAGTTTCTGCTTACAGCCAAAGTATCGAACAATCCTGTACTTCAGATTCTAGCACTAGGTTGAACAGCAGGATCAATGCACTCATAAAACGTGTGTTGTGCTTATTGCTCCTGAGGATTATTAAGGCATTGAACAGTCTCCACACGAATGTGAGAACCCAGACTCTGGTGAATCTGTAATGAACCTGATGGCTACCAGGTGCCTTCCCTCATCCCAGGTGAATATTTAGCTAGTGGAGGCCCTGTGTTTCCCAGTTTAACATTCAGCCAGCCAGTAGAGGGCTCCATAACCCTCATCCTACAGGAAAAGGCAATAATGTTCTGAGATCAGAAGGGATGAGACTCGTGAGAGCTACCGACTGCATGAGGGACGGTCAGGCAGTAGGCAGCCTGCAAGCTGGGCAAAGATCCAATCTGCTGCTGGCAGAAGGATGTTGTGAAGGGGTACAGAGAAACAGTTACCTTTATACCCCTGCTCTGGACAACTCCTAGAGGCTGGGCTGGGAACTGCAGGGGCGGGGGGTTTTTTTTTTTTTTTTAAGTAAATGTTAAAAGTAATTTGTGCTAAAGTCTTTTCACTTTTATTTTCTGGCAGCCCAAGTGGTTACCTGTTTGCAATGTGTGAATGATTAGGTGGCCTACTGACAGGCGGAGCCTAGCCTAGTGCCTCTGAGCTCATGGCATGTAGTGCACGCTGCCGAATGCTCAGGTGGATGGGGGGAGGTAAGGGATTTGGTTGCAGAGCATTTACATTGGTGCCACAGAGGGAAAGCCCGAGCATTTACATTGGTGCCACAGAGGGAAGAGAAATGTGTTTTATGTGTTAAAAGTAATTTGTGCTAAAGTCTTTTCACTTTTATTTTCTGGAAGCCCGAGCATTTACATTGGTGCCACAGAGGGAAGAGAAATGTGTTTTATGTCTCCTCTTTACAGTGCTGTAGGGTTACAGAATCATAGGGAGACACAGGCCAGCTAACAAACTAAGCAAGACCAGCAGCTGCCCTTCTCTCCTAGGCATGTTAGACAGACACCATTCCCTGTGACAGCTCCCCATCCTGTGTCAGTCTACTGCAGCCAGTGACAATAAGTGGTGGTACTCTCGGGGCTTTGTTTCTAAAGCAGCAGGCTGCTGGGAACAAGCTAGGAATGCATCAGATTGAGGTAATTAGGAAAACTGACTAGTTGTTGGGGAAGCCATGCATCTAATGATTACAGCACGAGTCAGAAGAACAACGTATTGTATGTTCGCTTCTGCAACTGACTGACTGTTACTTCACATACATCATAAATAAATTACCAAGGACATCCAGTAACAGTGATCACAGTTAATAATGGTAATGGGCGCGAGCAGAGGTTATTTTTATGATAGTAACATTGGGCCCCGTTGTACTAGGTGCTGCACAAAAATATCAGAGACCTGGCTTGCAGAACTAAACACAGGACCAAATATGGGTGGGAAACAAACACAGGGACAGGTCAGTGGTAGGCTCAGGAATAGACCCCTGGTCTCCTAACTCCCTTTGCAGTACCCTATTTGCTGGACTACCCCTACTCTCTTAAACCAGATAAATCATTGGCCTCTCCCTTTGTAGTAAATTCTCTATTTCAGCTCTAGCAAAATCTGATACTTGGTAATAAAAATGAGCTAAATGAACCAGGGCTGTGAAGTTCTCATTTTCGGATCTTTGACCATATTTGTCTTACCGCTTTAAGGCCTGATCCTACAATGTGCTGAGTGCTTTCAACTCCCAGTGACCTTGATAGGACTTGAGGGCACTCAGTTGCCCCAAAGGATCATGCCCATGGTCTCTAATGTGTAAGATTGTAGCCTACGTATTATTATATTAGTGCTAGTCAAACACCAAGAACTCCATTCGGCTGTAAAATGATCCACATTCTGAAATTTTATGGGGCATGCAAAGCGTAAATTATTTTTTGTTACTTTTGGATATTGATGATATCAATATTATATTTAGAGTCCAGCTGTCCAGATGCTCACTTTACTTTAAAAAAAGATTCAAATAGCTCCTGTTTTGACTGTGGGGTCCATTTTTTAATTAATCTCAAAATACTTTTAACAAATACAAAACATTTTAGAGCAGGAGTTCTGTCCTAGTGAACAGGCAGATCCAGCAAGTGTGATGAAAGATATTCCACCAGGGGATTTCTGACACACACTGGCCATAGATTTCTGGTATTTATTATAAAGGCAGGGGAAGACATAAGCTCAAGGGAAAACAAAAATCTAGGTCTGCCTCAGGTTATTATAAACTGAGAATTGATAGGCATTCTCAATTGCCCTGTTGCTAAGCAGCCAGTGAAATTGGTTGTCCGTAGTCTAGTTTCTTTTTAAATAACAAAACACAGTGCTTGTGTGTTAGGAAGGTCTGAGATAATATGTAAACATCACATTATCATGCTGAGTGCCACATTGGGGTGTGTGAAGATAAATTTATAAATGATGTGAGGTGCTCATTATACGTGATGGGAGTAATGGCAAGTACCCAAGCTGACAGAACAACTGGTTAATGGGATTATTCTAGTAGAAGTCAGCAGATTCAGGTGCTTACAGTCTCAGTATTACTGCAGTATAGTTTGATTTGAAATAAACTGGGAAATAGCCCAAATTACTGAGGAATCCATGAACTTAAACACAGCTGATATTACCATCACCTCCACACCCTATAGTTGGATAGTTATAGTGTAAAAACAACTGGTAGATTTCACATTTGTTTTCTAAATAACCACTTTTCAGTCAGTGAAAATCTGTGGGTGGGTAGAAGAGAGATTATATTGTGAGGATGAAGTAAAATGGTAAAATAGAAGGGATTGTGTATATTTCAAAGTGGCTTATCAGTTCACATTTTGGATGTAGATTGTTTATCATAGAATTATCTAATGGAGAACGTTCCCTGGGTGCTAAACCTCTTTTTGTTGTTTTAGTTCATATGTTTGCCATCGTACACAGAAATAAGGGACTTGGATATCAGTATTTTGAAACACTCAAACTGATAAATTGGCCAGTTTCTGTATTTTACCATGAACATCTCGGTCTAGAATCCCTCCGCCTTCTTTTGGCAGCTTATTTGTATCATCAGTAAGTAGAGATCTAAATAGAGAGTAATTTTCCATACTCTATAGCAGTTTCCAATCACACCCATTATTTCTCCCTTTAGTCCAAATTGTTCAATAAGCTTCAATTTAGAAGCTAATTCTCTAGGAATGTAACTGATAAGTAACCGGAAGCAAGAACTACCTACATACACATTTCTCATTCACACAAAAAAATTAGGGAAGGATTGTAGTATGGATGGAATTTGGGAAGATCAAACTATCCCACTACAAAACCCTACTCACAAAGAAACATGCAGTCAGCACAGAGCTGATCTGTCATTCTGTCTCATCTGAATCAGCATATTTGAACACATTTCTTGATTGCTACATTTCTGGTACCAAAAATATTTTCTACATCCTGTTTTTGGCGGATGCTGCAGATGCAATGGATATTACTAACCAAGCTAATGTGTTCAAATATTTCTATAAACATCCCGGGCTTGAAGAAACACCCCATTTTGACCTCAAAACTATATTACACATGGACACCATCAGAAATTTGACCAGCCTTCTATTCACCATCACACAGAAGTACATAACTGTCATGTAATCATAGAGAACAAGTGACCAAAAGACTAAATCAGTCCATCACTGTTTTGACATTTATTTTGTACAGTTGCAAATCTGTCACCCCCATGTCGCTCAACAATACATCTGCTCCTAAAAAAATAATTGCAACAACAAAATTGCTATTGCTTCAATATCAAGGTTTGGTTTTGGCAAAGCAAATCAGTATCTCTAAAGCGATAAATGGGTTATTGCCCTGATTTACACACATACATGGGGTACAGTAGTACAGAAAACCAGAGCGCAGCACTCGTGTGCCAGGTTCAGTTACCCTTCCTTACCATTCCTCCCCCAGCCATGTGCCTAAAAATAGAGATAATCAGGTTTCAAAGAGAAAAAGAAATGAAAAGGTCAAGTGTCATGACCTTAGACATATTCTGAATCTGCTTTTCTCTCCAGCTTGGCTTTCCTTAGCTGGGCCTCAAACAGCCGTTTCCGTTTTAGAAGTGGATCTACAGAGTGCTCTTGGGTACTGATCATGTCACTGATTGTTTCTTTCTTTTTTTTTCTCTCTCTGACCTGGCTTCCTGCCTGCTGCTTCTGGCTCCTTCCTTACTTAAAATAATAATAATTCAAAAAAAGAGAGAGAGAAAAACGAATTCTAATGTTCCTTATTAATGGCCAAACAACTACATGAGTCAATGCTGATATAACTATTGCAGCCCAACAAAGTAAAGTCAAATGTGTAATGCAGCTTTTGTGACAACAATGCTGTTACTAAGACTGAGTGGCAATTCCATTCTAAATCTTTATTTACAGCCATTTGTAATTTTCACATAATTTTGGGGATGACACTTCTGCTACTTGATGTCAGCCCAGGATCATTTTTTAAAAAACATTCTTAAAGCTAGATAAAATTCCACTTTGTGCTTTGTGAGAACTAGGTGGCAGTATTTTTCTTTAGCACCACCACAAATATTAGATTCCCACTTCTAGGTTTTGATCCCACAGTATCCGACCAGGACATCTAAGCTTCTCGATGCTATTCTGTTCAAATCACAATGTGCAAACAGGATAGTTTCATGCTGGAAATATAAGACTCAGAGACATGGATTCCTTGGGATATGCAGTGTCTTTTGAGAATTTCAGGTAAATAATTTCCTTTTTCGAAGATATTAAGAAATATTTCCGCTGGTTTTTTTCCCCCACTGATGACTTTTAAAAAAGAATTATCTGAAAAGTTTATATTTTACCCGTACTTTAAGTAGTCTTCAACTAGGAATCAATATCTTGACTAGTTTTTCTTTTTCAGTAAACTTATTTGACTACAGACTATTTCAACACTGATCAGTATGTGTTCTATCATGGTTATAGATGCACACTCCTTTGCACTTAACTTTGCCAATCACTTTTGCTCAACATAAGAAGCAAATATGAATTGGAAGAGCAGTGTGGGGATGCAGTAGTGAGATAAAAATGAAGTCCATGATCAGCTTGTTGTACAAACTTTAAATTAAATTCACTAAAGAAGGGGAGTGCCAGTCAGATAAAAAAAACAACATAACGGTGAGAAGAAAAAGCAGTGCTAAGAAAAAGCAGTGCTAAAGTGGCTGATGCATAATTTTACTTGAAGACAATGGCTCAAATTATTGGCTGGTGTAAACAAGTAAACTTCACTGATTGCTGTGAAGCTCTGCCGATCTGCACCATCTGGGGATCTGTGCCTAGGTATTCCTCTTTGGGCTGGGCACTGTATTTGTTCTGTGTTTGTGCAGTACCTAGCACAGTGGGGCCTGGTCCTTTACTCGTCCTCAAGATGCAAATCTTAATTCATATAATAAACAGGTAATATGGCCGCTCCTTCTGTGATGGGCTGAAAGGAATAAAGGTGGCCAGGCCAGCCAATTAACTCTATGGGGTGCACCTGGAGGAGAAGCCAGGGAACATATCACTAATTAAGAGGCGGCTCAGCTGGGCAGGAAGAGGTAGGGCCAGTAAAAAGTCCAGGAGGAGGTGAGCAGCAAGGCAGGGAGGTAGGCTGAGTGGAAGGAGTTGGGAAGCTAGAGGCGTAGGAAAATGCCCAAGGAAATACTTGTGTGGGGTCAGATTGTGGGGAGCACTTGGCTGATTGGTTCTATCCCAGGGACTCTGTAACAGTGCAATGGGCGGACCTGGATTCCCTCACCAGACATTGGGGCATGGTAAGGATGCTGGAGATGCCAGACAGACAGTGGGTGTGGAGGGGCTATGAATTTCCCAGAAGGGGTGGACCTTAGTGACCTGGCAAAGCCACAAAGAGGAGACTGCAGATCTAGGAGGGAGAGGGATTGCAGAGCAAGACCAGATGGGGAAGACACCACCAGAGGGAGTGCACAAGCCTGGCATAGTGCCAGGGTGGCCAGCAAGAGAGGCTGCTCGCAGTGAGTATCTGACACACCCCATCATGAGATTATCAGAGTTGCAAAACCTTTCAGACTACCTAAAGAGGGGATTTGTGGCAAGAATCCTAAGATGAATGCTCAGCAATGGTTTGAACATGTCCACTGATGTGTCCGACAACATAACTTTAGAAGTCTAGGGATCCTTGAAACCACCAAGAGAAAGGGGAAATTACCTTCCCATATGGCAAATGTGGCTTATGAGAGAAACTGTCTAATGCAGCATTTCTCAAACTGGGTCGTGACCCCCAGGGGGTTGCGAGCAACTTAGAGGGGGATTGCAGCTGGATTCAGTTTTTCACTTGCAACCCCTCTCCCCTGAACCATGAAGAGTGGCAGAGAGGCAGAAGGCAGCCGCCGGCAAGCTGCGCAGCGTGGCTTGGGCTGTGAGACTCCAGGAGCGTGGCTCAGTTGCAGGAGGAGGCAAGGCGGTGGGAGAATGAGGCTGGCACAGGAGCAGACGTGCAAGGGGCCGGCCAGGGCACGGTTGCCGGGCAACCGAACTCTTCCCCAGCTGGGAGTGGACGGGGTCCCTCAGGCAGGGGGCTGGGGATTTGGGTTGGGGCAGAGGACCCGGAAGTAAATAAGGGCACGTGGGGGTCAGAGGAGAAGGCAGAAGAGACACCGGAGAGGAGTGGAGGATGGAGGGGAGGAGGAACCAAAGGGATGCGGAGCGGAAAAGAGGCACAGAGGAGAAAGAGATTGGGGGGGGGGGGGAAGAGCCTGCAGGGGGGAAGGGCGTTGAGGGCTACAAATGCTTTGAAGGAACCCCAGGAGGACAAGGAGTCTAATGAGAAGGGGAGAGGAAGCAACCCAGGGAAGTGAGGGTGGGGGCAGGTCACACAAATTCATTTAGCATTTTAGGGGGTCGTGATATCACAAAGTTTGAGAACCCCTGGTCTAATGGATTTGCCTCCATGGCTCTGAGGGTGAAGTTCCCCAAAAGATAAGACTATGGCATGGGTTCCCAAACTGGGGGGTGTGCCCCCCTGGAGGAGGGGGGTGAAGAAATTCCAGCGTGGGCACAAGGCGACCCATTCCCCTGCTCAAGAAAGAGCCCAGTCCATCTCTCTGCTTGGCCGCCAGAACACATGCAGCTTGGGCTGGCTGGGGCAGATTTCAAAATGGCCGGGGAGAGATGTGAGGGTTTCTCAAAAATCAAAAAGGGGGGCGTGATGCCGAAAAGTTTGAGAACCACTGGGGGAATACCAGAAGTAGTATAGGCTGTATCTATGTTTAAAAATAATTTGCATATCCATCTCTTCTCTGGCTGATAGTTCTCCGTCTTGCTTTTTTTCCTCTTTTCTGTCAGGCTTCTTGTCCTCCATCCTATCACTTGTGCAATGTTTGATATGTGGAGGGAGGGGCGGGGTTTCTTAAGAGTTCCTGATGTCAAGTGAGAATCTAATCACCTTTTTGTTTTAAGTAAATTATCTTCAAGATTGTGGAGAAAAACTTGAAAATATTACCTCACACAAAGGGCTCAAACTGGATAGTAAAGGGAGGGGAAATAACACCCAATTTTGTTCTAAAAGGAGTTAAATAAATCTCAAGACTTTGGAAGTTGGACTCCTGATTTCTGAAATGTGTGGTGTTTGCAAAAGCAACAAGGAGTCCTGTGGCACCATAAAGACCAAGGGTATGTCTACACTTGCACCCTCTTTCGAGAGAGGGATGCAAATGCAGCTGAGCGAAATTGCAAATGAAGCATGGATTTGAATTTCCTGTGCTTCATTTGCATAATCGCGGACTGCCGCTATTTCGAAAACCCTTCTTCCAAAATAACTGGTAAACCTCATATGAGGTTTTCTCCCAAAATAACCGCATCTACTCAGCGTTTGTTATTTTGAAATAGGGTATTTCAAAATAGTGGCGGTCCGTGATTATGCAAATGAAGCATGAGAAATTCAAATCCGTGCTTCATTTGCAATTTCGCTCAGCTGCATTTGCATCCCTCTCTCGAAGAGGGTGCAAGTGTAGACCTACCCCAAGAGATTGATTGGGGCATAAGTTTTTGTGGGTAAAAACCACTTTGTCAGATGGAATGAAGTGGTTTTTACTCACAAAAGCTTATGCCCAAATAAATCTGTCAGTCTTTAAGGTGCCACAGGACTTCTCAGTCTGTTTCTGCAAAAACAACAACCTGGCTACCCCTCTGAGGCTTAGTGTTTACAGTACTTTAACACTCCATCTTCAGTATGTGGCTCATCTTTGTATACAAATCCCCTACCTAACCTCCATTCTTATTGTAGGTAGCTTTGGTTTCTTTTTAGATGACTCTGCTGACTCTACCTTCTCTCTAACTCTTCCTCTGACTGACTTGACTTCTTATAAATTGCAGTCAGTAGAGATTTTCTTTTAATATCGGTTTCATCCATTTCAGCTTTAAAAATATGGTAGTATGTAGGGAAGCACTGTACAATGCAGCAAGGCCTTCTTCCCTAAGCACAGAATGGGGTATGGCCCTGCAAACACAGTCTGTTAGCTGGTCTGAGTGTGCTTGATGCATGCAAATTATTGTCTCCCTTTTTTGTGTACTTTCCTTGGACTGGGTAACATTTTTGTCTTTCCACAGAGCACCAATTATATATATTTCAGATTAGTGAAACAACAAAGAAAGAACAAAAATAAAGTCTCCTTGACAGGAAGGTAGCATAAGAATGGTCACATGAGTAAAGTGAACCACTGCAGTGCTGTATATATGAAATGAAACAGTCACAGAACACCTACAAATGGAAGGGAGGCACCTCTACCTTTAAAGATGCAGTGCAATGAAAGAGTGACACTATATTGTCAGCTGTATGGCTTAGTATTTGTTTTATAGTACTGTTAGAATGATGATTATCTATACTGCTGTCATTCAAAGGCCTCATTCAAGGCTGGAGCCCCATTGTGGTTGACTTGCAGTTCTTTGCTTTTCCATAGTAGCGCAGCACCTCCCCACTTTTTCCATCCAGCCAGCAACTGTCTCCCATGTGGCAATAGGGAAGAGAAGGTTGGCTACATCCCCTTGATAGCTGTTCATGATCCCCTCTGGTGGTCATGACCCTCAAATTTAGAACCCATATGCTAGGCAATGTACAAACACATAGGGATATCTACACAGAAGAGCTAAATTTGAAATAAGCTACGCAACTTGAGCTATGCTAATTGCATAGCTTACGTTGAAATAGCTTATTTTGACTTTTGGTGCTGTCTGTGCAGCACTTATTTTGAAATAGAGCACTCTTCCTCTGACTTCCCTTACTCCTCATACAATGAGGGTTACAGAAGTCAGAGCAAGAAGCCCGTTATTTCAAATTTATTTCAAAATAACAGGCTTGCTGTGTAGATGCGCACTACATTATTTTGGAGTATCTGTCATTATTCCGAAATAATGCTGCTGTGTAGACATAACCATAGTGAAACTCTTAGTCTCAAAGCCGCTCTAGTTTTTGTAACAACAAAGCAAAAACCTTTCCAAGGTTCACTGGGTGTAGGAGAAGAAGATGTGAAAACAAAATAGTAAAGAGGCTTAATTTAGAATGTCAACAAATACCGGAATTTAGCCAAAGGGATATTTTTATTTAGTTCTTTAATGATCAATGTGGTGGTTGAGCATATTCCTGCTACTTGTTCTTTGCTTTTAGTAATCTCCAGGGGTATGTCTACACTACAGAGTTTTGTAGGAAAAACAGCTGGTTTTCCGACAATTTCAGGAATGTCCACACT